TCAGCATACATGTTTCCTGTAGAATAAGAGGTTAACAGTGAAGTTATAGGTCAATGGGTTCTGACAACATTGGAAATGATTAAAGAGGTAGAAATTTAATTTTAGGAAATTTTAGGACATAATGTTGTAAAACTAAATAAGTAGTGAAAATTTAAATGCAAAGCAAAATTTTCAACATGGTTCAAAGGAGAAGGAAGAAGATAGCATTCAGAACAGATGTCTGGCTCTCTTCCAATTCTAACCAAAATCAATAAGGAAATATTAGCAAATTTGGGAGTGAAGAGCACAGGAAGAATAAGAAGCTGACGGCCAGGGAAGTCTGCCCTCCTACTGCAAGAATCCTGGAAGAAATATTCTCCCAGACTCAGTGGGGAGAAAAGGGTTGTATTCTACAAGAAAACGTCAGAAACACCTGCAATTTGCCTCACAAACAGATGACATGAGCTCGAGGTGAGGAAGTAGAGTCACTGTCCTACCTGGGAAAGAACCTGATGTGGAAAAGCAATGGCTCTAGGGTGATAATCCCTGAGATTGACAGGAAAATGCTCCCAAAGCGCTTTAATTTACACAGGAGCACACACAACCATTTGCTGATTTAGAGAGTTTGTAGCCATCATATTTTCAATCAAAATCCTACAGGCATTAATCTTGCCATTGTCACCAAGCCTTTGCCTTCTGGCCCTTACACTGTAAAACTAAATACTTAATACCTTCCTTATGGGTTTTTTTCCTTTCCCTGGCTTTAGTGATACGTGTTCTTTTAAAATTGGAAATATTGTCTAGGCTGTGTTCAGATGTAGTCTTTAGTTTGCTTGCACCCTGCTAGGAAGACTAGAGCCTTTCTACCTCTCAGCCTGCCTTTTTCTTTCCTATGCTAACTTTCTCCATCTGCTCAGTTTTTGTATGTAAACTTTTCTGATACATTTATTGACTCTCGTAATTATAAAAATTCTTGACTGTGGCAAACACACATGCCTTTGCCATATTTAGGAGTAAAGTTCAGCAGTGTGTCCCACAGCCAAGCACAGTGTTACTAATGAAATTCCGAAAGGAAATGGACAGATCAGAGAATGGGACAGTCACACAGACTGTGGTAAAACATGTTTTATGTGTAGAATTGAACATCATTTGGGAGCTGTCCTAGAAGTCTTTCTGGACCTCCTCAACTTGAGATTCTGTAGACCTTCAAGAAGATGGGGGAGACCTGAAGACACACTGCAGAAGGCAGTTATAGACTTTGGTGGGAGTCTACTCTTGACATTTAGGACAATGTGCTTAGAACAGAAAGGAACACTTGACTCTCTTCTGAACTTCAGGGCGTTCTTGTCTTATTTGACTTAGGGATGAGCTGAAAATCCCTGTCCAGAGTAACTAGTCAAACAGCCAATGGTCACATCTTAGTATCAACACCCTGTCTTCTGTGTGATCTATGGCCCAGATCAGCAACCTAAGGCAGAAACCATTCATTGCTAATGATATAATATACTAGGATAAACTTCTTACTTTCTGTTCAAAATTGCATCCCTCATGTGTTGCCTCTTTCACTCTGCCTTCCAAGTGCCCTCTCCTGCTTTACTGGAACTGAAACAAGCTCGTTCCAAACCCTTCTGCTGAGAGCTAGTGGTTATTACTAGAATCTCATTTCCACCAACAGTTCCTATTGGTTGTCAGATTCCCCTGTAGGGCACAATTGCTTGGCCTGGTACCTGAAAGTTCACCCTTGCATGTTGAACTTTTCTTGGTGTTATCCAAGCAAATCTACCATCATTGTGTTCCTTTACCCTGGAACTCTCATCACTATTTCTAAAATGCTGTGGTCATTTCCTTTGATCCTACCAATCCAGATTGATGGAAGAAGCTTTGTCTTCCATTTCACTCTTTAGCTTGTTAAAGGCGGCAAAACCTATCCAATCTAAAATATGACAGAATCACAAATATTCACCTCACTGAAAGCTGCTAATTGAGAATGGATTGGTCTGATGCCCTTTTCAGAAAGATGAACTTTGTAACCCAGGAATCCAGTTTTAGTGACAGTTCTTTGGAGGAGAATCTGGAAGGCAAGAGAATTTGCTAGACTTCTTGATTCACTCCCACAAAGCCCATTTTACCTACAAGTACTCAGAGTCAGTCCCTTTCTTCCTCACTTATGCAAAGTTGAGGGCAAAAGTAAGAGGGGACACAATGGCCCTTTCACAAGTAGATTAAGAAATGAACAACAGTCAAGTAGAGTACCTGTCAATGGGTGCCAGAGCAATGTTTCTGCCTGTATCTCAGAAATCATCATTACCTCTGGTTTCAAAATCTGGTAGACACTGACCATAAGCCAGTCTAAGAGTCATGATGCTCAGAGAAATGCCTTTTACTTATCAAAAAAGAAAACACACGTGGCAAACTTTCTTTGCATTTTCCTAAAATTTGCATTTAATATCTGCATAATCAACAGAAATAATTTAATATTGAATCAAGTTGAGGTAAATATTCTTAAAATATAGAAATATTTTTCCAATTCATAATGTTCAAATTGTTAAACCTCCCTTTTATTTTATTTTTAATTTAACAGTAATTTTACAGTACTTTTATTAGCATCAAACTCTGAGGGTTTTTGTTTTTTTTGTGGCAGTAGTGAGTCTTGAACTCAGGGACTTCACCTGAACCACTCCACCAGCCCTATTTTTGTGAAGGGTTTTTTGAGATAGGCAAACTATTTGCCTGGCTGGCTTTGAACCATGATCCTTCTAATCTCTTCTCCTGAGTAGCTAGGATTGTAGGCATGAGACACTAGCACCCAGCTGTGATTTTCAAGAAATGTAGAGCATATGTAAATTCACACCAGCCACATTTCAAGAGTTCAAAAGCAACCTGATTTTCTTTGCCTACATAAATTGTGATGAAGACTCTTCTTTGGCTATAGGAGCTTTGGGTTATTAGATCAGCCACTGAGTCCTCTTTAAGAGAAGGCACATTTCATCTCAGCAAAAGGATGCTGTGGGTAGCTTTGTTTTCAGGAGATGGTTGGAAGGAGAAACTGGGGCTGTAGACATGCAGGGCTCTTCTGTGCTGTTGGTAGAGGAGATGCACCACGTAGAGGCTGGTCCCGATCATGATGACCACAAAGAACACATTGCAAATAACCATTACACTTAAAGATACAAGTGAAAGTTGATGAAACCCATTAGTTTAACAATTTGCTTGAGAATATCTAGAGTCAACAAGAGACAAATTGCTGCTTGCTGTTAAAGTTTTAATGATGCAGACAGAGATCAGCATTAAACCTCCTTTTTAAATTGACCCTGTTTGTGGTGTCTCCAGAGTTCTCATCTCTCTCAGTCGAAAGCTTTGCTTTTTATCACAAATATTAGGTAACATTTTTTCTACTCTAAGATGAAATTCATGAATAATTTTACCATTCTAAAATGAATTTCATAATCATCCTATATTCAAATTATTATATGCCATGTATATAGTGTTCTAACTATAATATAAGTGAATAAAAGGAAAATTAGTTAGAATAAGGTAATATGTGTCTCCATGTACACTTATGCATAATCACAAAACTAGACAAAACAAGGTAGCCTGATGTTGGTATCTACATATAATACCTACCTGGATATAAAAGCTAAAATTATTGCTTACAGGTATGTTTTTGTTGTATTTTAATTAGATAGAATAGCTACTAATCATGATTTTCCGAAGTAATGAACCACTCTTTCCAAAGTTCTGAGGGAACAAAAATTAATTCGGTATCTGTAGTATTTGCATTTCTCAAAAATCCAAAACCTTCAAACAGTACCAAAAGTGCTATGCATTTATGAAAACTGAATAAAAGCCAACTAACTGTTCTGATTATTACTTACTTCAAGAATATCTGACACATTATTCAAGTACAGAGCAAGACTCGACTTTTTTATATATACACCACAAGATAGCAATTCCCTGGCCTCACCACAATATTAGTAGTGCTATCTTATAATGGTGACATCCAAAAGTGATCCTTGAGGACAATCTTGCCCTGATTCCTGTGTGAGATTCATTTCCACAGCAATTAAAGACAAAGACCAGGCAACCTGATTTTTTTTCTAGTTATTCTGTGAATACTGATGAATATGATATTTTATAGTATAAAATGTTGCATTCCTATATTTAGGATAATTTTTCTTATAGGCTCACAGAAATAGACTCTTTATTACAGCATATTATAGTACAGAGAAAAGCATAATTGCCTGGCCTCAAAATACCTGAAATCTGAAAGATTATAATATACCCATAAACTAAAAGATACTTTGATAGTGATAAGAGAAACCTAATAAAATGCTCACAAATAAATTTTAATTTAAATATTACACCATATTTTTATTTTTTTACACATTTTATGGGTGTTACAAATTTTCTTAAAATGTTAATGGACCTTAGTGATTGTCTTACAAAATATTATGCATCAAAGTAAGAAAGAAAAAAACTAAAAGTAAGGGGGAAAAGAAAGCAAGTAATAAATAAATGAAAAGAGAAAAAAAAAGAAATGACAGAAAATCTAAAACAGAAAAAATTGGGAACAAGTCGTGTTTGCAGTATATTGCTACTTTCTCTTCCTCAGAATTAGTTTTTATGACTCAGTAATTTCATTGATCATGGAACTCACAGGGGTACTTTGTATTCCTCTGATGAATTTGTAGGTCCATAGAGTATCAACAAACCTGTAAATCATGAGATATGCCTAGCTGGACAGAAAAAGTTGTCTTTATTCATTTGTTCTTTTAATCATATCATTAATTACTTCATCTTATCTGAAGCATTAAATATGAAAGAGGATCAGTTCTTTGGGTAGTTTCAACATTATGAAGCATTGAAGGCAACAGAAGTATGAATAAAAGGAAAAAGTAAACAAATTAAAAATAAAATTAATTAAAAATTTAAAATAAACCAAAATAAAAAATATAAGCTAAATACCTAGCTATTAGTAGTCCTTGAAAAAAAATCAGTTTAATGCAGTTTAATGTGCCACAAGTTATGTTATCAATCAAATTGCAAAATATTACTCAGAATTTGGTAAGAAAATCCACACTATTCAATATTCTAACACATTACAATTTTATTAATTTCATATATATTTACTCATCCATTCTTCAAATATTCCAGAAAAACATTGCCATTCAAGTTAGTCTCACAGAGTCTAAATCAATGGTTATTCCATATATTTCTCAAAAGTTCTTCTTTTTAAGAATGTAATTTTCATTATATAAAAACACTTTTAATAACTTTAAGAGTGGAATGGAATTCTAAATATCTCAGCATAACATTCTATTTCCAAATGTAATCTAAATCAACTGTGGCCCAAGACATCTAGAAATTCTTAAAAAAAAACAAAAAACAAAACAGAAAAGGAAAAAGATTCAATCACCTCCCATAGGAACTTGTTTTAATGCCTCAGAGCACATCAGTCAGGAATATCCTGTATGGTTGCTTCACCATTTCATAGGCATGCTCAGCAAGCATGATTTGGGATAAAACAGTACAAGTGGTGATTTTAAATAGTTAAACCCCTTGTCCTTAAACTCAACCTTTCAAAAGACAAATCTAGACAAACTTTTAACAGCAGAAGTACATGAGTTCTGTTTGCATTGATTTCTAGCACCAAAGTTAAGATATTCTCAAAATTTTCTTACTTTTCCTCTCCTTATTCTGTTTTTTGCCAGGGTGTGAGTAGAATGGGTCATCTTATCTGGCTGGCCAAGTAGAGTTCATCTTTTTGGAGGTGGCTTATGACTAAGATTAACCTAATTAAGGTGAAGTGGGTGCAAAAAAAACCCAAAAACTAGACACCTAAGTGTAAACAAAAGCCTAAGAAAAGGCCATGTTTTAAATCAAGAAACTCAGAATGTCCCACTAGACTCATGTTGCCTACATGGGCCACATGGACATTGTGTAAATAATGCAGGGAAAATAATGCAGTATTGCAACTTCAGGTGGATTCACCATCACTGATCTTTGTGTGGACATCCTTCAGTGACCAGAGGGATCAAATGAGGACTGGGATGAGTTCCCTGACATTTTATGGTCCTTTTGTTTGGCTGGATCTAGGCAAAGTTTTGATCAAGCAATATAAAACAATTCTTACCTCTTTTGCCCATTTTCATTCCATATATACATGTGTATTATATATATATGTATACATATGTGTGTGTATGTGTGTAGCTATATACATATATGTATATATAAATGAATACTATAATCTTGGTTAACAGCACAAAAGGCAATTCCATAGGTTAATAATTTTTTGTTTAAACCAATGGCTTCCCCCAAAAACAAAGAGCAGCAAATCACAACAACTGATTGCTGTTACACTCAAGAAGATTTCATTGTAATATGCAACATTGTCATTACAGTCCTTAGAGTGTGCCACAATGTGCAAGTAATAGAGCCTAAAAAACTGATAGGGAAGAAAACAAACAAGAATGATGCCTATAAAAAATAGGTTTTTCAGTTGAGCCCAGAACTCCTGGTGGGATAGAAAGGAGTGGTGCAACTTCCGCACCATGGACACAATGATGAAGACCTGGACAACCAGAAGAATCATTGCAGTGGCTATGACAAAGATGACTATCATATAGTTGATGATTTGCACATAATCCTGTATAAGTTCCTTCTGGAATTTAAAACAGTGTTGTTCATTGTACTTCCCCTTATTCCCATACTGAGAAATAACCAGGGGCACCACAATGACAATCACCAAAAGCCACATGGCCGTACTAGCAGCAACAGCATGCAGCTTTCTGTAGAATTCCACTTTGTCCTTGTGCTTGAAGAAAATGAGGTACCTGATGACCAGGATCACCACATAGAAGAGGAATGTGAGGTACATGTGGATATGCAGCATGGCACTCACAAATCTGCAGAAGGGTAAGCCAAACAGCCAAGTCTTCTTGATAAGGTAGGTCAAGCGGAAAGGTACTGTCAACAGGAAAACTCCATGCACCAACACCAGGTTAATTACTGCCGTGGTGGTCACAGACCGGGAGTTCATCTTCACCAGCAGGAACAAAATAGAGATGACACCTACCAGTCCTCCAATGAGTACTACAAAGTACAGTCTGGTTAAATGGGGCGTCAGTATAGGATTACAAGAGTAATTCCCAGAGATATTGTGGATTGCCATCCTTCAGACATTGCCTGGAAGAGAAAAGGCAGCAGTATACCAAAAAGAGTTCCTTCAAAGCACCGACAAGATGGCTTTGTAATTTACCTGTTTTTTATGACATAAGCTTTATGTGCTTTAAGAATAAAGATTATATTACAGTGTGTTTGTGTACCTAGACCCGAAGTCATTGTACTAGTCCATTTTATGTTGCTAATAACACAATGCCACCAACTGGGTAACTTTATAAAGAAAAGAAGTTTACTTCTGGTACAAAGCTCTGAAAATTCAAAGTCAAGGGGCCACACTTGATGATGTCCTTCTTGGTGGCACAGAGTATCACATATCAGGAAACAGGAAGCATGCAAGTGTGACTCTCCTGGGCTCTAGCCCTCTTTTCACAAAGCCACTACAATTCAGCTGTAGGGACTTCACCCTAATAACCTTATTTAATCATAATCTCACCCAAAGACTCCACCTGAAAATATCATAGTTGGTATGTAGTGCCTCAAAATAGGGATAACCCTAGGGGACAATCTCAAACCATAGCAGCCATTGATTCTTAATCTTTAATAGAAATTAAAAAGTTGAACATTAACCTATAAGATGCCCCCATAAAAATCAATTTGCATAAATCTTCAGGAAGATTGCAGATTACCTGGTACTGATACACGAATGCTAGCCATCCAGCAGCCACTGAAAAAAATTATGAGACATGTGGAAAGATGAGTGAATGGATGAAGTGATGCAAAATATTTTTAGACATGATTCTAATTCTCTAAGTCCTTCTGACTTAGAAAATGATCCAAGAATATTCATACTCTATCATTTAGGATACCAATTAACTTGATAAATACTCAACTAAATCAAGGCAGTAGAAAGCAATATGAATGTTTAGATGAATTTCTCATTACAGTGATATTATCACCCAGCAGCGAGGCCTTCACTATGTTCTTCCCACTGAAAATAAGGCCTGCCTCCCAATTCTCATGCCCTACTTTCAAGTACCTTGAAAATTCACAAAACAACCACTGTTATTTTTCCCCCAAAATACTCGCTCTTCTAATTCATACTCTATGTTCTTGTTCATTATTTATTACTAAAGACTTAGAAATCTTTTAATTTCACTAAACAAGTCAGCTTCCCATCTCTTTTAAGATAAAGATCAATATCCTCACATATCTAGAAAGTTCTGTGTTGTAGCAGCAATAATCTGATCAGTCTATTGAGACCACATTCAATAAATAATCTAAAACACTGACAGCCTTGGATGGATTGTACATGAGGGAATGAGGTTAAGGGAAGAGTCTTGATCACATCAAGATTTCTGATTTAAATAAATTGTGCTATTAGAGGTCTGTTTACTGATACTAGAAAGAGTCAAATCAAGCAAAAACAATAATTGAGTTACCCACTTGGTAACTGACTTTTGTGACACATTTTCAGTTATTCTTACTTATTTATTGAATGTCTCTTCATTTAAAGGAATATTATTCAGCAATAAAAATGAACCAACTTTTAATATACACAATATTGATGAATCTCAAAATCATACTAAATTATCTATTGTCTTAATGGGTGACATGTATGTGTGTGTGAGTGTATGTGTGTGTGCGTGTGTGTATAGTACATAACCAGACCAGAGATACATCTGTTACATAAAATTTCAGAAAGAGGGGTGAGACAATTAAGGGAAATGTCTGAAAAACCTTTCTAGGGGAATAATAATTTACTTTTAAAAAAAGCCTAGAGATCTTTTACTAAATGAAAAATGAAGTTTTTCTGTTATATGATTTATTTTTCTAGAAAAGGCTAAACAACTGTGAGAGAAAGCAGATTGGTATAGTCCAGGCCAGGATGCAGGAGGAGGAATTGTCTTCAAAGGACATTGGGGGACTTTGGAGTGATGGAAATGCTTCCTGTCATGCTGGCTTCTGTTGCAATTATTTATCAAAGTTCACTTAATATTGGTGAATTTTGTTGCAATACACTTCACTAAAATTGCTTTTTAGATGATAACACCAGAAAGCCACTGCTTTTGTGAGCATAGAATGCAGCTTGAAAACTTCATGATTCACTTAACTGAGTATTTTCTTGGAGTCATTGAAGCAGGTTGCTTTATGTTACACTTGGTCTCTGTGTTGTGCCATTTCTCTACTTGCTTTTTATTTTTTCTATAGAAAATTAGTTCAATCAGGTGAGACTTATCTTGTGTTCACATGAGTCAGAGGTAAGTGTGTCACCATAACTTCTGCTTACCATTTCCTTTGGCTGTTGGCTTAGTAAGACTGACTTCTGAAAGAAGAGTGTATCACTTGGCATAAGTCATTCTTTACTATCAACTGCCATGATCTCTCTCTCTTTTAGAAACACATTTTAAGCAATATCTATGGGCCATGACTAAACTGCATTCTCTTACTTAATTTAACCTTCATATTAGACCTGGAGGCTGCATGATGTATTATGATACTGAAGTTTAGATGATGAAACTGAGCCCTAGATAGGATAAGTCATTTGATTATGGTCTTTAAAGTCTCTCTCTCCTTCTCTCTCTTCCTCTTTCCCTCTCTCCCTCTTTTTCTCTCTCCCTCTCTCCCCCTACCCTTCTCTCAAACACACATACTCCAAACTCCAAGCTCTAACCCCACCAAACCACAAACTCAGATTCATCCCTCCTCACCTCATGATTGTTTCCTGTGCAAACCCATGTGCCAATACTTTCCCCTGGCCCAACTTTGAAGTCTGATTTTCCCTTCTAAATTTTGCCCTCTTCAAACCTCAGCTCCTGTATTCCTGCTTTCTCCTTTCCTGTACTGCAACTCTACCTCAAGTTTTAGAATAACCATTTCCCATTTCAGGTTTATCAACATTTCAGGAGATTCTGCATGACATATGTGCAGTTCTAACACTGACCTAAGGACCTATCTAGTTCTTACAAAGAGTCTTATTCAGCTTCTTTGTCCCACATCTATTCTTGGGACTCCCTCATTTGTGCTGTTAACCTGGATAGGGTCTGGACATCTTCATAACGGGTCAGTTGTACCTGTGTTGTAATATGTAAGTAACACAATGTATCCCCCATACAACTATTATATGATAATAAAAAATTGCAAAGTTAATTCAACACATTAAAAATGTCATGCACTATGATTAATTTGAGTCATTCCAGTAATGCAAGGATGGTTCAGTATATACAAAGCAATTTAAAATGACACAGTACATAAACAGAACAAAGAATAAAAATTACACAATAGTCACAATAAAAAAGTCTTTGACAAAAGTCAATAGCCCTTTATGATAAAAGTTCTTGAGAAATAAAGAATATTGCCAACATTATACCAAATAGGAGAAAATCTGAAAATATTTCCTCTAAAATCACAAATGAGACAAAGTTGTCCACTATCACCCCTGTTATTCAACACAGTGCTTTGAAATTTTGGCCAGTGCAAAAAGGGCAAAGAAATAGGACGAAAGAACTATAAATAGGAAAGGAAGAAGTTACCTCTATTTGCAGATGATAATATCCTCTCCTTAAAACACTGCCAAAAATTCTACCAAGATACTCATAGCTCTTTCAGAAACATAACAGCATACAAAATTCAGTAACTTTTTTATATACCAATAAGGAGCAGGCTGAGAAAGAAATCAGGAAAACAATCCCATTTACAATATACTCAAAAACAAAATCCTAGGAATAAACTTAACTATGAAGGTAAAAGACCTCTGCAAAGAAAACTATGACACTAAAGAAAGAAACTGGAAAACAAACTACAAGGTGGAAAGACCTCCCATGTTCACAGAATTAATGTTGTGAACATGGCCGTACCACTGGAAGCAATCTCCCATTCAATGTAATCCCCATCAAAATTCCAATGTCGTTCTTCATAGAGATAGAAAAAGCAGCCCTAAAATCCATGTGGAAGCACAAAAGACCATGAATAGCCAAAGCAATCCTAAGCAAAAAAGAAATGCTCAAGGTATTAAAATACCTGAGTCCCAATTATACTATAGAGCCATAGTGACAAAAACAGCATAGTACTGGCACAAAAACAGACACATAAATGAATGGAATAGAACAGAGGACCCAGAAATAGAGCCACAGAGCTACAGCCATCTGATTTTCAATAAAGGATGCAAACATATCCACTGGAGAAAAGACAACCTCTTTAACAAATGATCTTGTAAAAATTGGGTGTCTACATATAGAAGACTGAAACTCAATCTCTGCCACTTTCCTTATACAAAACTCAATTCAACAGAGATAGAGATATTAATGTAAGGCCTGAAATTTTGAAACTACTAGTCAAAAACATAGAGAAAACACTTGAAGATATAGGCATAGATATTGACTGCCTGAATAGGACTTCAATAGCTCATGAAAAAGAGCAAGATTTTACAGAAAGCTTCTGCATGTTGAGGAGAATAATTACTGGAATGAAGAGAATGCTTACAGCATGGGAGAAAAATTCTTTCCATTAGACAAGAAAGTAATATCCAGAATATATAAGGATCTCAAAGATTAAAAACCAAAAATAATCCATTTAATAAATGGGCAAATGAATAGAAAGTTCTCAAAAGAAGTACAAACAGTCAATAAATACATAAAGAAATGTTCAACATTCTTAGCCATAAAGGAAATGCTAATCAAAATGACATTGAAACTCCATCTCCAGTCAGAATGACTTTCATCAAGAAAACAACCAACAAACGGTGACAAGGATGTGGGAAAAAGGGATCCTTATATACTGTTGGTGGGAATGCAAACTGGTCCAGTCACCATGGAAATCAGTACGGAGGCTCCCCCAAAAGCTAAAAATAGAACTATCATATGATCTTCTATACTACTTCTGAACATATATCCAAAGGAATGTAAGTCAGCATACTATAGATATAACTGCACACCCACATTTATAGCAACACCATTCACAATAGCCAAATTATGGAATCAGCCTCAATGCCTATCAACAGATGAATAGATGAAAAGAAAATGTGGTACCTAAACACAATAGAAAATAATTCCATCTTAAAGAAGAACAAAATTATCTTGATTGTAGGAAAGCGGATGGAACTGGATAACATCATGTTAGTCAAAATAAACCAAAGTCAGAAAGACAAACGCTGCATGTTTTCTCTAATATTCAGAACTTAGTCCTAAAAAAACTGACATGAATGTAAAAGGGGGGCTGTTTGTGGGTGTAAAAACAACAGAAGGAACAGAGGGTGATGGGGGATGAATATGATCAAAGTACATTATGTGCATGTGTGAAAATAGGATAATGAAACCATCAAAATTGTAGAAAAGGGAGGATGAGAGGAGGACAATAAAAAAGTAATGGGGGTGGTTATGATCAAAGTACATTATATGCATGTATAGAAATATCACAATGGAACCCCTTTGCACAATTGATATATATTAATTTAAAAGACTGTAGCCTCTTCTCTGATCCACAAGAAGAGATGGGCATGTGGATCATTATATTATCAATATTACATTAAAGAATTATATTCTCAGAATAGAAGTTGAAATATTGAAATCCGAAGTCAGTTCTCAATATTTGAGTTTTGACTTCAATGGTGTCATTGATCTTCTAAGTCAAATTTCTATATAGAGTGGGGTGCTTTTTTTCTATAGGAATTCATAGCAACATCAATTCAACCAAAGTATACCTATGTTTAAACCTAGACTATTAAATATT